AAGTGGATAAAAGAGGCCTGTCCCAGAATAAAGGGGTTACTTTTTGTGTGTGTATATGTGTGTCTTTGTTATTTTGTGTCGGCTGTCTGGCCAACAGCGACATTTCTCCCCTTTACACAAAAAAAAACACAACCCCCACCTGCTTCTTCACGTTCTCGATCTCGGCGCGGATCCTCTGGATCATGCGGTTGAGCTCCGAGATCTCAATCTTGGTGTCCTTGAGGCTGTCCCCGTGCTTGCCCGCGGTCGCCTGCAGCTCCTCGTACTGGTGGGATGAAGCAGGAGGAGCACGGTGGGTCCATGGTGGGTCCATGGGAAGGACAGGACAGCGAGTCCACACCAGATGCGCTCTGGATGGACCAGCACCGGCAACATCCCAGATCCTGGCGTGGCCTGAGTGGCTCTCCCACCCCCTCGGACACTGGCCAGCCCTGGCAGYGTGTGCCACACTCACCTTGCACCGGTACCAGGACTCGGCCTCCAGRCGGCTGCGGTTGGCGATCTCCTCGTACTGCGCCTTCACCTCGGCGATGATGCTGTCCAGGTCCAGGCTSCGGTTGTTGTCCATGGASAGAACCACCGAGGTGTCGGACACTGTYTTCTGCATCTGGCACAGCTCCTGCAGGTGAAGCCCAGCCCAGATTTAGCCCTTCCAGAGCTTCTTTATGGTGCCACCACCCTCCCCATCCCGGCGTCCCCGGAGCACTCACGGCCTCGTAGAGACACTTGAGGAAGTTGATCTCATCTGTCAGAGAGTCCACTTTTCCCTGGAGTTCCACCTTGGTCATGTAGACTCCRTCCACGTCCTGCAGCAGAGATGGGATGAGAAAAGCTGCTCATTTAATCTAAAATTTCATGGAATCATGGAATGGTGTGGGTTGGAAGGGACCTTAAACTCAATCCCACCCCATTCCATGGGCATGGACATCTCCCACCATCCTGGGCTGCTCCAAGCTCCATCCAGCCTGACCTTGGACTTTCAGGGATGGGGCAGCCACAGCTTCTCTTGGAAATTCATTCCAGGAGGATCTCACCCTCCTCACAGGGAATAATTCCTTCCCAATATCCCATCCATCCCTGCCCTCTGTCACTGGGAAGCCGTTCCCCCTTGTCCTGACAGTCCAAAATCACTCTGCATTTCTCCTGTAGCCCCTTTAGGTCGGAAACAAGGACCTGACCTTCTTCAGGAGCACRAATTCATTCTCAGCCGCCGTCCTTTTGTTTATCTCCTCCTCGTACCTGTGGATGGGAAGGAGGGAGATGGAATCTGGCTGCTTGTTTTGGCTCCRGCTCAGACTAATGAACATCGTAAACTCTGCAAAAATAGATCTGCCACGAGCGAGATTTATGGACAGGGAATTGCAGTTCGCCTTTCGGGACAAGCCCTGGCTCCTGCGTCGCCTGGGTGAGGAGAGCCTGGAAAAAAAGGAATTCTGGYTCTGCTGAAGTGAATTTTCGGTGCCTGTGGCCACTCCGAGTTCCTTCTGCAAGATCCAGGAACCTCCAGCTCCTCACAGGCATCATGGAATCACCTGATTTGGAAGGGGCTGCACAGGACACCCCAAAATCCCAAATAGACCACATTTTCCAGGTGCTCATCTCCAAATACAAAGTCAATTTTCACGCAGCAGCCTCTGGTTGATTCCAGGTCTTGTTGATCCCGATGATTCCCAGATGTCCTTTCCCACTGTTTTTTGTAATTCCTCAAGTGGATTCATTTCTCCCATCTTTGTTCTACTTTTTCCAACTGTACACATTTTATTTTCATATTTATAGACTACAATAAATYATCCATTATAATAAATAACAGCAAGAATATAATCTTCCTTTTYCCTTTTTTTTTTTAACCTCATGTCAATCTTCCAAAGAAATCCTCACATCCTGAAGGATATTATGGGAAGGAATTCATGAGGAAATTAGAGYTGGGTTTGGCAACTGATTGATTCATTAAATAGTAATGCCACTGATTCTAAACTAAGGAAAACAAAGAGTGGAGGATTGTTCTTTAGGGAGAAGCCCAATATGAGCAATAAATTGAAAAAAATCTGAGAAATATTGAAAAATACCTGGAAAAATCACCACTTTTCACCCAAATCACCTTCCTCAAAGCCTTTTACATTTTCTAACCATCGGGGAAAAACCCAATATTGACAGTTATCAATATGTCAACCTTTTTGGCTGTTTGAAGGGAGTTTTTCCTCTCTGTTTATTCACCCAAAAAAACCTACTTGGTCTTGAAGTCCTCCACCATGTCCTGGAAGCTCTTGAGCTCTGTCTCCAGCTGGTGTTTCTCGCTGGAGAGACAATCCAGCTGCTTCCTCAGCCCGCTGATGTAGGTCTCAAAAAAAGGGTCCAGGCTCCTGCCCCCCGTCCCTACACCCCCCTGCTCCTGCAGCAGCTTCCACTTGGTCTCCAGGACTCGGTTCTGCTGCTCCAGGAACCGGACCTAAATAAATGGGGAAAGAGTTAGATTTTTCCCTAAAAAAAGCCATATTTTTATTGATTTTTTCCCCCATGTGTTTTCCATATTTTACTCCCATTTAATGTGTAAATAAATGGGAAAAGAGTTAGATTTTTCCCTAAAAAAGCCATATTTTTATTGATTTTTTCCCCCATGTGTTTTCCATATTTTACTCCTGTTTAATGTGTAATAACTCCCCGGTCCCATGGGACAGGTGGGACCACAGTGGATGGGTGAGTGAGCAAAGCTGGGTCAACTCCCCTCTCCAATTTTGGAGCCTCTAAAGAGGAGAAACTCAATGAAATTCATGGTTTTGGCATCTTCTTGTTTAAAATAGCCCCAAAAGTCCCAACTTCTCCTTCAAAATAGACCAAAACACCCAAAAAAGTCCAATCATCTCCTGCAAAATAGCCTCAATCATCACATATCCCATCTTCTCCTTAAAAATCACACCTTTTCCTTACAAGTAGCCTAAAGCACCCAAAATCCCACTAAAAACACCCCCAGACACCTAAAAAAAATTCACTTTCTCCTTCAAAATACCACAATATACCCGTTAAAATAGCCCATTTTTTCCTTAGAAACAGCCCMAAACACATTTTGTTTATGGGGATTTAGGCAATCTCCAGCTCTGGGTGTCACTGGGTGATCACCCCGGGGTCATTGCCACCCTCGGGACCCCCATCCCGRGGTGAAGCCCCTCCAAACCTTGTCGATGAAGGAGGCGAATTTATCRTTGAGTTTCYTGATCTCCTCCCGCTCCTGCGTCCGGACCTTCTGGATCTCGGGGTCGATCTCCAGGTTGAGGGGTGCCAGCAGGCTCTGGTTGATGGTCACCTCCCTGATGCCACCAGGGGGGCACTGGGGGAAGCCCTGACCGTCGAATCCTCCACCAAAGCCACCAAAGCCACCGCCGAGTCCTCCACCGAAGCACCCTCCGCCATAACCGCCCCCAAATCCTGCTCCGGCCCCAAAACCAAATCCTCCTTGGCCGCCAAAACCTCTGCAGGCTGCGCCAGCMCCCCCAAATCCTCCCAGGGAGGTGCTTTTAGTGCCCCCCAGGGAATAGAGGCTCCTGCTGCCGAAGCCACCAGCGCTGCCCCGGTACCCTCCRCGGGACACGGAGCCCAAAGCCATCTTGTTCTTGCCCCCGAAACACACGGAGCTGGAGCTGAAGCCCTTGCCCAGAGCGCAGGACTGGCGAGACATGGCGAGGAGGGGTCCCCGAAATGGCGAGCAAAGAGCTGAGGATGGAGCTTGGGAGGCGAGAGAAGCCGAGTCCTGTGGGAGCAGCGGTTGGGTCTCCCCTTTTTATGGGCGCAGGGAGTTGGTCGGTGCCAGGGGAGTGGAGATGTTGGGGTTTTGTTTTTTTTTATTTTGGGCTGTTTCATTCCCTTCATTGTTTTCAGGTTTTGAAGGACGCCCTCCTTGCTTTGCCACCACCATGACCTGCCCGCAAACACTCCCCAGAAAGCAAAGATAAACAAAAGCATTGTTGGTGTTGGAGCCGAACACCAGCTCAGATTCGCCGGGTCACGGCTGTCACTCGTCACAAAGCCCCACACGAACTCCCTGATGTGTCACACCCTGGAGGGAAACCCTTGTTGGAGCTAAATCTGTCATTTTCAGGCTGACACCAGGGGCTGGGTTGGCTGAATTCCTGCAGGAGCCCAGGCACACCCTGGGATGCACTCGGCTTCAACCTCCCGCTCCGAGGAGGGGTGACGCTGCTGCCCAAAGCGTTTCACAACCGGCAGCGTTAGAGCTTGGCACGGCTCTGAAACTATTCACTTCTATGTAAATAAAGGTGATTTTAAAACCTTCTTAAAGCTTCTGAAAGGTTTTAAGTCCTTCGGGATCCCTGTGAGTGACGGGTTGAGCCGGGCGGGACGCGCTGGGATTTGCAGAGACCGAAATATCCCGATATGGGGTGTGCTGGGCCACACCCCAGCGGGGTCAGGACCATTCCCTGCCCCACAATTTTTAAAGGGATCACTGAGGGTCACCCTGAACCCCGAGCACCTCCAGCCCTCCTCTGAGGAACCTTCCAGGCATTTGGGGATCTTTTGGGGTCTTTTTGG